CCTACACGGTTTTAAATTGGAATTGCCATTGTGATACATTCTGTTCCTCAGATCTAATAAAACAAATTGTATTAATGAAGCATGGGATAAACTGAAGATAGCCTGAAGACAGGAACTGCATGACTGTGTTAGCAGAACAAAGTGAAATTTATCTACCCAATCTTTCTAAGCTAGGACAATGCTGAGTTTTCCAACACAGATTTCCCCTTGAAATTGTTTCCTTGGTCCGAGCTGGCAGAATGCTCCACACCTCATTTTACAGTCATTTTGTCTTCCTGGATCTTACACAAGTCCAGAATCTTGAGAGAGAGATTCCCTATTAGTGTCAAGTTGATAAAAATTTTAGACTTAGATTATATAGGAGTATTTAGATTATCTGTGTGCATGCACTTCATACAGATTATTTCCGCAGGCAAATCCATGTAGCAATGGATTTTTAGTTGCCTGTGTCACTTTTTTTTTCGGCTGAACTGGATTCTTTGGAAACTCTCTTGTCCATTGAAGAATCTTGTACTTTATTCCTTTTTTTTATATTTAAATTTCTTCATTCTTGAATCAGGTATTCAAATAGAATATACTATGTAAACAGCTTAAAATAAGCCCTGTACATTCTCTACAAGAGTCAGACAGGATTAGTACATGCAACACTTGCCCCCTCTTTATCAAKATTTCCAGATTACAGGCTTTTATGCAGTTCACATGCAGTGTTAGATACCTAATTTACATAGCATGGCAGTAATATATCACCATGTTAGTATCTACAACCAGCACTTCCTTATTTTATATATACTCTCACTTTTTCTTATTTCTGCCAGTGCATTTTTCTGTACTGAATGTGATGTTTAATTTAGAAAGTCCTCTTTTTTTTTTCTTCCTCAATGATGTGGGGAAATGGAAGGATGATTACATTATAATTTGATTTTTTTTTAACTTGTGGGTCTCAGTGGACTTATTTCCCCTTTTACAATTTCAAAATACCTGGGTTTGCATCTACATTTCACTCTGAAATTAATATTTGTAATATAGGCCCAAGACACATGGGACATTTGAATAAGTGATCTGCTTTAAAAATGGAAATAAATATGTTTTTCTTATGTAAGCCATGTTTATTATACTGAATTTTGACACTTGAAATGTTTTGATACTGGAAAATCCCAGTGGGGATATTATTTCTTTTAACTGTAGAATCTGGTTAAATTCCAAGTAAACCCGACTAAAAAATATTACGAGAACCTGACTAGAATAGCTACAGTGTATAAAAAAAGCAAGAATTTCTTGCAAGGCTCTTTGCAATACTGCCAACATCAGACATTCAAAACCCCCTCTTTTTTTTTTAAGTTTTTTTTTTTAAGCACAAGTTCTAGAGCCTTTTAAAAACTTTTGGGGGTGTTGTTTAAATTGCAGGCATATTCCCAAAAATGTGCGCAAATACATCTTTTTTATTTTTTTTCAATTGGAGAGCCATGCGTGTCTCATGATTCAGGAAGGTGGGACCGTAAGAGAAACATCAAATGGAGACTAAGAATAAAACCAAGACTTGGCAGCCAGCTGCTCAGAAGAGCAGTATTAAGGGCTTTACATGCTGGGGGGATCCCCTTCCATGGCCTGTGCAGTGAACAGGTATTTTTGTTGTAGACCACAGGTTTCCTGAAGGTAGACGTTGTGCCTAGGACCTTTCTTAACAGTTAACTTTTGTTTTAAGGGTGATCCAGAGTGTTCAATATAGCACCATTTCACTGCTTCAAATTGCTCCTGAAACGATTTAAAAAATTGTTTTCAACAGATTGACAGCACTAAAATCAGTGGGAAACTTCCCTGGCTTTCAGTGGCTTTTGGCTTGGGCCTGTGAAGCATTTGAGGGGTGCAGGAGAGCGGTGTTGGAGGGCATTTAATCACATTTAGCATTTGCTAAAATGTGGTGAAATTTGTGCTACTGTTGGGCAGCCTGGGAGGACCGTAGTGACACCGAGAGCCCGGAGCTGTTCAGGTGTAAGAAAGGATGGATATGGCAGGTTATTAGATGTGGTAACTTAAATCAGACCAGTGTGTCTGTAGTGGCTTGGAAGTCATTCCCAGTTTGCAGTAATTTGACCAATTTTTTGGTCCCTGTTCCTATYGCAAAACCTAACAGGTTGCATTTGCCAGTAGAGCCGTGTGACCAGCAGTGCTTTTCACCATGTCTTCACCCTGCAATATGTATGAACAATACATTTTGTGTAATTGAGACATAAATAAAAGGCCAATGATGGCCACATTTTAGCTCTTCGGGAGCCAGAGGACAATAGGGCATGAAGAAGGACGCACTGCTTTTGCTTCATTTATATAAAATCTTAATGCTCATCTGAAGATTTTTAATTCCATGATACTGGCACCACAGAAGGAGTAATAAAATCCCCCTTTGTCTGCAAAGGTGTTGAGTTAGCCCTTTCTGCCATTGAAACCTTCTGTTTGAGGAAGGGGACGTAACTGAGGGAGATGATCTGCAACTATGAAATTTGACTTTGAGGATATTCAGGCTTTATTTCTCTCCTCCCCTGTAAAATATCCTGAGCCCTTATTTTCTTCTTGCTCCTCCTTTACCTTGTCTGTGTTGCTCAACGCCAAGACCAGAGCATTTTCTTCCTGCAGCTGTACAGGCCCTGGAAGCAAAGCTGGGCAGCACCAAAGCCACACTGTGAGATGGGGTGAAATCAGCAGCCGTCTGTCTGATTCTCCCCATTTCTCACGGGGAGTTGCACAAAGTGGCTCCACCTCTTCCCAAATGAGCAAGAGAGCTGCAGGGGACATCCCTTTCCCTAGCAGGGATTGTTCAAAGAGAGGTGAATAAATAAAGGCAGGGGAAGCTTCAGAGTTGAATGTGTCGAGCTAAATGTGTTGGGTTAATGGATGCTGGGAGACGGGACAATGGTTTTTCCAATGGAGTTTTGTGCCATAAACCAAGTCTGGCAGAGTCAGGCTCACCCCATGTCACTGCTCTGATAGTTAATCTGTGAGAAGACCTGGACTTAAATTTATTTATTTATTTTCTTGGTACTTTTTATTTATGTTTCAGGAGCAACATTCACTGTTGTGGAARGGCTATATAGTAGATCTTAAGTAATGATGAAGCAGGTCTTACGAATCAAGGGAAAAAGCCTTTCTCTGTTTCCTCTCTCTGATTTGGAGGGAGTACCTGCAGGTAGTATTTTGTTGCCTTGAAATGGTACCCAGGAGTTGTTCCAAAACAGGTATACCACAGTGTAAGCTTGTGCTGAACAATTTTTTAATTGTTATTTTTTAAATAGTTTCAGGTTGTTCTGAGATAAATAAYTGCAATTAGAAAAATGGTTGGAGCGATCAAAAAATGCAGAAATACAAGGCAAAGTGTAAAGAAATTCTAATTTTTGGATGTGAAACTATTAAAAAATAACTAAATTGAATCAGGTCCTGACTTACTGCAGTTTTATTATTTGTTCTTCCTGCATACTTATTCCCTCAGCCAAAGCACTGCTCATATCATTTTGAAGCTGGTAACTACTGTGACATCCAGAGCAACTTTTCAAAAAGTTACCAGTTTTGAAGCATAAATTGCATGATACAAATAACTGCTTTGCCAAGTGCCTAAATTCTCCTAATCCAGAAAGAAAGAGCCAAGAATTCCCTTTGAACCTGTGTTCTTTGGAGTTCAGTCATCAATACTAGGCAAGACCCACTGCTCCTTTCCGATCCATACGGAATTGTAGTGGTTTGAATTATATCCTCTTTTTACAGTATTTCTGAAGCATAAACAAGAGCAGATTTAAATAAAAGCAAGATTCTGAGAGAAATGAATGTCAACCACCAAAAACACTTGGACCACAAAAAGAATGTATCTGGAAGGAACATTTTTTTTCCAGAATACTGTACAGAAAGCCAATAAAGAGACAAAAATGTTAAATAATCGGATCCCGAGGGTGCAGTATTTAATTTTGAAAGGGGTATACGATGCCTGGAAAAGCTGTGAAAATATGTTTACTAATATTTTAAATAATAAGTTTTAAGAAAATAATAGGCCTAAGAGCGGTCGGTAACCTGTAACTTACAATAACGTGCTTTACTAGTAGAAAATCTTGTAAATCTGTCCTAGTGATGAACAGCAGCACTTGCTCAGACTAAAAATAATAGCAGGGCCATGTATTTTGGATCCCAGGAGACTAGTGGTGTTTTTGTAGACAGCAGACAGGAGAAAAAGGCATTTTGTCCTTTTTACCCCGCGTAATCCCACTGGGAAACGCGGCATGTGCTGTGAGTTGATAGGAGGCGGTGCCAGGTCCGCGCCGCCWAGGCCGTTGCCGCCTGCCTGCCTCGGGCGGGCGGCGGCCTCGGGCGCGAAATGGCTGCCGCGCTGTGGGGCGACACGGCGGCCCCGCGCGCGCCACTACCTGAGGGACACCCCGAAACCCCCGCGCCCTCCTCCTCCTCCGCGCTCTTTCACGCGGGGACCCAGCAGCTGCTGTTGTCTTGCTATGGGCTCCTGCTGGACACTGGAGAGAGAAAAAAAAAATCCAGCAATATATTAGCAAGAAATATTCAGAGAAACCGCGAACCCTTTTTTAATGGACCACCCTATCCAGTTTCTGTTCTTTTAAGGAAGTTTTTCCTATTCATGACTCATTTCACTCTTTGGCTAACATCAAGGGAAATGGAATAACGATTAAGCAAAGGAATGCATTTTTTTTTCCTGGTTTTGTCCCTTTTTTTTTCAGAACCTTTATGAATTTTCTGTATAACCTTGTGTAAATATATATGGGTATAGAAGCTTGACAACTGTGACAAGGTAAAAAATACACTGCTGATACTTGCTTCTTGCAGATATTTTTAAATGTCCCTTCTTGTCCTACAAGCTAATGTTAGGCTGGGTACTCCAGACTCCCTGTTCAGTTAAAATGACATGCTCCAGGCAGCCAATTACACAGAACTGTTAAGTGAAATTAATGAGATCACCCCTAGATTACGCTTTCTGTTTTATTTTCATTTTATAGGTCTGTATGAGCTGCTGGCTGCATTGCCAGCCCAGCTGCAGCCACATGTGGACAGCCAGGAAGACCTGACCTTCCTCTGGGATATGTTTGGTGAAAAAAGCCTTCATTCACTGGTGAAGGTAAACCACACTGAAGTCAGATTTGCTTTGAGAAGAGCATATGGAAAAATGTTTTGAGCGCCATCTAGTAAACCAGTGATCAAACTGTTGCTCGGTGAAAACAAAACAGCCTTGTTTTAACTCTGTTTCTGTCAGGGGTGGAAGTTGTTAAATAAGATTCTACCAAAAATACATAGATGATTTCATTTAAGAGTGATGTTTTGGCAGTATAATGCTAATGCAGCCAGCATATGTTGTTTGCCCTTGTTTAGAAAAATAGAGTACGAAATAGTAGCAGGAAATCTGAGACTTCTGTATGGTCAACATTCAAGACCTGGAGTTTAGCTTAAATAAATAAATGTTCACAGCAAAAATTAGAAGGAATATATTTTCTGAGGTCAAATATGGCAACAGTTCAGTAGCCACATTAATTTAAAATAATTTCCTTTAACAAAGTCAACTGAAATTCTAGTAAGCTGTTTCCCTTGCTGGCTTGGCTCCATTGAAAATTGTGTTTTGCACATAAATATGTTGGCCTAAAGTATGACCTAAAATAAGTTTGGAAGAATACTTGAGTAAGTGTCCTGCTATGAAAACGATCGGCACCGAGAAATCAAAGCAAGGCACGGCCGTAYGCAGAGCAACCCCCATCATGTGAAAAGTGCTTGTAGCAGAAAAACGGGCCCAAGCAGCTGGTTAAAATGTTCCAGTGCTCCACGATGGTGAGGATGGGGTGAGTCTCTAGCACAGAGCTAATGCAAGCTGTGAGAATATTCCGAGGGCTCGGATAATTCCGGAGGTGGTAGTAACCCCAGCTGTGAATGTACTCTGCCTTGCCCAGCATTCAGCAGAATCGGCCGAGAGGAGGCTTAGAGCTGGCCACAAGAGAGATTATTTTGATGTAGATTTTAAGTTACTTTTTTCCCTTTTCACCATCTTGTTCTGGGAAAATACAATTTTGTTGATAACCYGGCTAAATTTATTTTCAAATCAGCTATGAGAATTTATAGATAAAAATGCACATAAATATTGGCTGGTAGTAGATATCTAAGTACAGGAGGAACGGTGRTTGTCAGTGCTCATTTACCTGGAGCAATTCATCAAATTGCACCGGCATGCAGAGGTTCCCAGTGATTCCAGCTTTACATTAGCTGTCTCTGGAGGCTGCTGCCGAGATCCCCAGGAGGTGAACACCACTTGGCATCTCTCATATAGGCTGGCATTAGTTTGAATCAGAGTAAAATGTTCTGTCCATAGCCAAACTAGTTTTCCGTCTGGATTAGGTATCAAAGAAGAAGGCTGACTATAAAATGAGCAGGGTGAGTTTTCAACATTTGTTCCTATGTTAAAACAAAAACTAAGCCTTTTCCAACTCASTCACCTGCTCCTTTCTCACATCTCCCCAAACCCAAAAAGGTAACAGGCCAGGCACTAATGTGCTCACCCTGAATTTATTCTCGCTTTGACAGAGCAAGTGGTCGTGCCACACGTGCCGTTGTGGGCTCTTGGTGGCTGCAGGGCAGGAGGATTGCTCTTTCCAATGTTGACAAGAAATTTAATGAAAAAAAAATTTCTTCACACAGATAGAAGTTGTAAAGATCAACAAGTGTTTGATCTTGCAGTTGCAACACAAAGGCATTGGAGCATTTCAGATATACTTATTATTTATCTGGTAGATTTTAGGTGTGAGTTTTAAGTGTACCAGTACTTTGAATCTGTAAGCAGTTCTGTTAAGGTCCTGTTGAGCCTCAACCTGTTCTAAAATAGGCCTAAGTCTATCTTCAGGGTTTCTAGCTGCACTTTTTATGTTTTTTAACACACCACACTAATATTCTCCAGAAGACAGTCTCTTTAAGTGGCAGGCTCAGGACTGAGCCTGTTAGGAGCCCCTAGCATGAGCCATGACATTTGCAGGCTCTAGAACCTCCCCTTTGGATTTCTCTGCTGCTCGGGTGTGGAAGATGGGACACGAAGGACTTTTAAAAGGTTACCTCTCATGTCCCTGGCTTAAGAGGCTAAGACAGGCTTAACTCTATCTGGAGCTCCTGGTATTTGCTTGACCTTTAATGCATTTTTAAGGGATTATTCAGTATCCTCTCGAGTTTCAGAGAAGTCAGTCCATAGATTTTTTTGAGGACAACTGTAAGAGCAGAAGTAAGAATCCATCTCCATAACCTTTCTCTGTTATAAGGCTTTGGAAATGCCTTTTTTTTCTGGGTTTTGGGGACTTCTTGAAAGGCTGTTTTTCATAGTAGTAGTTTCTTAAAATCAACTGTACTTTCAAAGGCAAAGGATTTTAATTCCTCAGGCAGAAAATGGTGACAGATATTTTGTAATAAAAAGAGGCACTAACTTAAAGCCAAACATGTTCCAATTCTGGTATGTGTGGGTTTTAAACTTCATAGATTAGAAGAAAAGGAAAATTTGGGTGTACGTCTAATTACGCACTAGTAATTCTCTATTTAAGATAAACACACTGCTTATTCTAAGCTGATCTTACCTTAACTGATTCATAGTTGCAAATAGCAAGAAGGCATATTCAAAGAACTGTTTTTCTAAGGTGTAATGTGCATAAAATGCTCCAAATTATGTGAACATTTTAATTATGAAATGATTTTTTTACCTTTTTACAGATACTGTATGTTTTATGGATATTTTATAATCATAGTGTTTTTGTTGTAGCTGTATGCTATGGCATATGGTTTGGTTTGCTTCTCTGGCTCTCTTAGTATTTAAAAAAAAAAGCCAGAAAACTTGTCTTGGAGTTCTCTTCATTCAGTGTTGTTGGACAGAAATCTCTTTGTGAACTTGGATCAACATGAGCTATTCTAAGAAGTCAGAAATGGAAAAGTTGTATTAGATCATCCAGTCCATTCCCTAGCAAATACTGGATTGTTCCCTACGGTGCATTCCTATTGTAGTAAGTAAAACCAGCACAAACTGATGCAACTGTTTATCTCTTTTTTTTCCTTTTTTAGTTTTTTTTTTTTTTTTTTTTTTTTAATAATACAGGAATGTGTGGATTAGTTTTTAGTTTGCAGAGTATGGAGAAGAGGGAAACCACAGCCATTGTTGACAGTTTGGAAGAGAAAACTGGCTTTGGACAGTGAATGTGTAAATTCTGTCTCTGCTTCACTCAGTTTGCTTCCTTGTCTTAATACACACTCTCTTTTCTACCAAAAATCTTCAACATTCGATTTCTTTTTGTATGGTAGAGATCCTAGTAATTGTGCAGCAATTTGTAGAGGAGGAGCATGAAGAGATGATCCTCAGGGTAATTGTGAGTACTAACCTAGCTGAAGTCTGAAACAGTGCACATACACACTGAATTGGCATTTTGCAGAGGAACAGAAGGGATAAAGCTAAATCTGCTTTAATTATCTTTTAGCATACTTCTAGAGAAGCTTGTTTGCTGGATACATGTTTAACTGTCTGCCTTGCTCTGGGACAAAGTTTTTACTTGCTCTGTACCCTTAAACAACTCTGTTTATGTGTATGATGCTCATGCACTGACTAAGGTTATCTCTTGGGCAGAGTTTATCTCTTATGAAATAACCTAATTATTTCATAAACAATTGCAGTTTACTGATTGATTTTGGCCAGTCCAGAAAATGCACAGTTCTTCCACCTGTGCTGCATATTTCATGATAGTAATAAAACAGTCACAAGGTCTTTTGCTATTCCTCTTGATAGGGAAGAACAGGGAAGAGACTGAGCATCTAAAAAGTAACATGTAGCACTGGAAAAGAAAGTACTAGTGCAAAAAGTAAGCAATATTTGCTGAATCTTGACCAATTTCATTGTGATTGCATAATATCTGGCCCTGCAGGCCTTAATTTGTAATAAATTTTCTATTGATTTCACTTGAAGTTTTGAGAACATTATTCTGTATATGTTGATGTTGTGCATCCAAAGTCCAACTTTTTCTAAAAGTAATCTAATTTTCAATAATCAGGGGTGTATCCTCATGGGTTGACATCTTCGATTATATTATTACGTAGCCCAAATTTTACAGTTATTATTGTGTAGAAAAACTGGAAACTTTTTGTGTGAAGAGGTACAAGGTGCAGAAACAGGTGCTTCAAGTTCAAACTTGGTAATGAGAAAAATAAAGATAGCATTTACAAAAACTAAGTTGACTGGAATAAACCAAAGGGGATTGATTTGACCTGTGCTTGCAGTGATAAAATCAACAATGCGCAGATGATCTGCTAAGCCTTCAGGCTACCCTGGTACAAGGTTAGTTTATAGGCAACTTTATATGTACACTTTGAGAGTTTTTTGTTACCACACACACACATAAAAATCTGCATCTAGAGGAGAGCATTCAGGCGATCTCATGAGTTTTCTTGACTGTTTCATGTTAGAAGTTAGATGCATTTGTAACTGTCCAACCCTTCCTCTGAGAAGAGTCATGCAGCTTATTCTAGGACACCTGAAGAGGTGTTATAGTGCAGCTCGGCCTGTCCTATAATGTGTCAGGCATTCGTTGTAATATTTATTCAGTCTTCATAAATTATTGTTGGAAGTGTGGATCAGTTTGTGGCACTGGGAATTGATGGGCTAGAGGTAGCATGGAGGTAGGATGTGGTGGCTGGCAGCAGTTCATGGCCAGTGAAAAATAATAAGTAGCAAACTTGCAGGAAAATCAGGCAAGATTGCTTCATACATTATAGTTCACGTATTTCTCTGAGGGAGAGTATGCAGAGCTACTGGAGGCACGTGTTCAGACTGAAGCTATTGCTCTTGCACTGCGGGCCCTCCACGCAAGCACAGATGAGGTCAGTTGTGCATTTTGGCAAGGAGATAAGGAGTGATATACTAGTTAACAGGTAACAGTTATTTGTCATTAAAATCTATTCCTTAAAATTGAGATCATCAGAGACCTAGGAAGCCTTAAATTTGTAAGGATGTCTTTGTTGTGCTGTGAACTGCTAAGAGTCTTGCTGAAAGAGGTGTGATACAGCCCTAGAGAAGTTACAAATTAGTTACAAATTAGAAGTTACAAATCAGTTACAAAT